AGCCTTCCTGCTTCTAGACACTTGTTCCCTAGAACTGCAAAGAGTAACCCAGGAGGCTTCCTAGAATGTCACAGGGACACAGCCCACCAACCTGTCTTGGTCTTTAGCACCTTCTAAGGAAGGCCACAGTATTCTCAAAGAAGGATGGACTTCTTGCTCTGTACCAGAACTCTGCGGACCACACCAGTCCTCCAGAACAGTCTCTGGGAGTGACTGAAGCTGGCACAGAGCTGAGTATATAGTGAGGCAGAGTGGTATAGCATGGCAGCCAATCAAGATAGCCAAATTTCGATGCTCTAAATATTGGATTTTCTTTTTAATTCTTGGAATTTTTTTCTTTTTCTTTCCAAGACAGAGTCTCACTCAGTTGCCCTGGAGTAGAATGATGTGGCATTATTGCTCACAGCAACCTCAAACGATCTTCTTGCCTTAGTCTCCCAAGTAGCTGGGACTACAGGCACCCACCATAATGCCCGGCTATTTTTAGAGATGGGGTCTTGCTCTTGCTCAAGCTGGTCTTGAACTCCTGAGCTCAGGCAATCCACCTGCCTTAGTCTCCCAGAGTGCTAGGATTACAGGTGTAAGCCACTGCGCCTGGCCAATTCTTGGAATTTTTAAGTGACAACTTAAAGAAGATTTTGCAAAACATTTTTCTAAGGGGGAATGTCTACTTGAGAAAATGCTTTTGGCTATTTCATTAGACTAGCAGATAAAAAATGATGTCCTCTTACTTCTGATAGGTAGAATATAAATAAAAATAAAAAATTAGAATAAATGTTTTTCTACATAATAAAGTTGTAAGATTTTGATATTTTTGAGCTTTGACCATCTTACCAAGAAACTTGTTTGGTTCTTTCTGATGCAAAATCCAACAGGCCAAAAGAAGAAGAAAAGAAAATACTGACTAAAATACTGAGAATTTGGTGATTTAACGGAAAGTGCACAGTACAAATTACACTAGTGCCAAAAAACAAACTTGCTACTGCTAAGATAGAATTATTAAATAATACCATCAGGTCATGCATCAAAAGTCCCACCATCTTGCCTTTTACAGGTGTTAGAGAAGGCCTCAAGTTGTCTAGATGATGAAAAAAGATCTTGTCACTTGTAGATCCTGGTAGGACAGAGATTCCTGCGTTGTCTCCGTTGAGACGACTCCTCACCCGCTTAGGTGGATGAGGTTTTTTAAATAACTGGTATAAAAAAAGATGACATACTTTATAATGAACGATAACATCTGCTGAGTTCCTTTATTGGCTAGGTATTATGTTCTTACTTCACTCAAGCTTTATAACAACGACAAGGTACCATGTTACCTCCATTTTATAACTGAGAGAGGAATTCAAAGAGGCTAAGAAGGTTGCCAGAGAACTCACACCTTAGTAAGTCGGGACGGGACTATGCTAATAAAGCTTAGGTCATGCTCAAAGCTGCGCTTTCATAGTAACTTTCCAAAAAAAAAAAAAGTTTTCTACAGTGGACTGACACTTATTACTATTTTTTGAGATGGAGTCTCCCTGTCTTGCCCTGTGTGGAATATGCTGGTGTCACAGCTCACAGCAACCTCAAACTCTTGGGCTCAGGAGATTCTCTCGCCTTAGCCTCCTAAGGACCTGGGACTCCAGGTGCCTGCCACAACGCCTGGCTGTTTTTAGAGATGGGGTCTTGCTCTTGCTCAGGCTGGTCTTGAACCCCTGAGCTCATGTAATCCACTAGCCTTGGCCTCCCAGAGTGCTGGAATTACAGGCATGAGCCAGGACACCTGGCCAGATTAACCAATTCTTTGTAGCTGAATAGCATGTGTGCCATTGGAGGGAGGCAGGCATTCTCTCAAATTGAATTATCTCTGGTTTCAATAGGGATTTCTTGTGATTTAGCAACACTTTGGTGTCTTTTAGATACTACTAATTTGCTAAAAGTGTGAACATCATTACCTTTTCACTTTGCTTTCTAATAAAGAGGAAAAACATATCTTGATTCTTCATTCAGTATTTGCACAGGGTTAAAAATATTATCATACATTGAATATTGCTGCTTTTCAACTATTGTAGATCTTCAAAACAGGCATATAGTAGTATCTGTCAGAGGACTAGTATTTGAGGAAGATATGTGAAAAATCTTAGATGCATGATTCTATTTTTTTTGCAGTTTTTTTGACCAGGGCTGGGTTTGAACCCGCCACCTCTGGTATATGGGGCTGGTGCCCTACTCCTCTGAGCCACAGGCACTGCCCCAGATGTATGATTCTTAAGATGAATAAATACTATCACACTCTGTGATCATGATCAGATATTCTGGCTTTCCAAGAGAAAAACAAAAACAGAAAAAGGCTTTGTATAAAATCAGATGTACATACATCTCAGGCTCCTAACCCTTTAAGTGTCTTGTTCCTATTTTATCTACATATAGGGGCCTAGGATCACGGCTCATTTTAAAGCACATTCATGAACAAACATTCACCAAAGAACTTTTATATGAGACCTAAGTATACAGTAGCACACCAGGGGGCAAGGAGATAAAGAAGTCTGCATATGGTGACCACAAAAATCTAGATTTTTCTCAGCTCTACCTTTCAAGTAGATAATCCCATTTATGAGTCATTGGAACCAACCCCAGAAACGCAGCAGCATTCACACCATCTCTCCCAGACTGCCGGCCATATCTTATATTCCAAAGTAGCACAGAAATATTGGAACAGTGTGAGGGTTTTTTTTTTTTTGAGACAGAGCCTCACGCTGTCACCCTGGGTAGAGAGCCGTGGCATCACAGCTCACAGCAACCTCCAACTCCTGGGCTCAAGTGATTCTCCTGCCTCTGCCTCCCAAGTAGCTGGGACTACAGGAGCCCGCCACAATGCCTGGCTATTTTTTGGTTGCAGCTGTCATTGTTGTTTGGCGGGCCCGGGCTGGATTTGAACCCGCCAGCTCAGGTGTATGTGGCTGGTGCCCTTAGCTGCTTGAGCCACGGGTGCTGAGCCCAGTGTGTTTTGTTTTTTGTTCAGTGTATTTGTTTCCTGTAAGGTGTAAAACATGGCTTCTGCCCCTTTCCATCTGAGGAAAGTGCAAAGTTTTAACTAAATAAAGGTGTAACTAAGATTCTTTAACTGTGGATAGAGTTTATCAATAAGCATTGTGCTTTAAAGTAAAATGTTTCCTTTATTAGGGGATCAGCTGCATTGTGAATGGTGTGGTTAGAGGCAGGTCAGCTGTCCATCATGGCTTTTCCACGTATAGAAACTTGCTATTGTTCCGTGTATTCTCAAGTGTCCATCCTGGAAGTCTACAAAAAAGGAGCCCAGGAGAAACATCTAAAGCAGGAACAGAGAAGACCCCAGGGCTGAAGTGGCCAGCGCTTGGTAGAGGTAGGTGGCTGGCCAGCTCGGCCAAGCGCTTTCTCCACGCTGGGCTGCGGTCACTCCTGGTGCACTGCACCTTTCCCGCTGTGCCCTGGATGATGGGGACGCAGAAGGGGATGACAGAAGGGATGACGTCTCTTCGTGGAGGTTTGCTCATCACTGAACATGAAATGGGAAGCCGCGGTATCCGGGTGCTGAGAGTTCTGGATGGTGTGAGAGCAGCTACCACCCGTCCTCAGCATTTCTATGTGCCTCACAGTGTAGCCCTTGTCACGCCTACGTCAATAATCTGCTATTGTCACCTCTTCTCTAAACTACTACTGTAGCTTTCTAAGTGGTCTTCTGCTCCCAGGTTGGTTCCCCTGCAGTGTCTGTGCATGTGTTTGAGACATGCACATAGGACAGAATAAACTTCTAAAGCTGAAGTATGACCTTATTGTTTCTACACTTAGAATCAGCAGTGGCTTCCCACTGGCTCCTGGATGCAAAGCCCTTTCTGCATGACTGTAACCTACAAGATCCCTGCTGCTAGATCTTGTGCATATGTAAGAAAGTATACCCAGTACTAGTCCATATAAAAATTTTCTTTAAACAAAACTTCTATTTATCTGAACTATGAAGGTGAGAAAAAAAAATCTAGGAATCTGTTAAACCTATTAGGTGATATTTATGGTTCTTCATAAACTTAGTCTAAACAACTATTAAATATCATCTAACTTCTAAAGAAATATTATAAAATTTATGAAATGAAAGAATATACTGATGATAAGAAAAAAAAAATCCATACCTGTTTAGGGATCTGACCGAAGTTATTAATGAACCCAATGGTGGCTGTCTCCTTCAGGGGGTCATTTATGTTGTAGATATCCACTTGGCCCTCATAGAAAAGATGATGGAAGACATTCACAGCTTCCACCGCGGCAGGGCCTTGCTGTTTATAGCCAAAGATTAAGTCGATCCACTCATGTAGATGGGCGCTCACGTAATCACACTCCAGAGCCTGTAATTTTAAGACAGGTTCAATCACTGACTGGTATTTACTACTTGCTCAAAAAGTAAAAGAAACTCGGCCAGAGGGCAACAAAAACTAATATGCCCAAAATTCATAAAGACAACACACCTGTACCCTCTTCTCATGTTTTGTTTTCTGCAGTTTCTGTTCTCTATGGTCAACCACAGTCCAAAAATATTGCAATATTTTATGGAAGAGAGAGAAAGAATCACCATATTCATATGGTTTTCATTACAGTATATAATTGTTCTATTGTATTATTACCTATTGCTGTTAATTTCTTACCATGCCTAATTTATAAATTCAGCTTTAGCACACGTAGGCATGTATAGGACAAAGCAAGTCCATGTAAGGTTAGGTGTTATTCATGAGCTCAGCCATCCTCTAGGGATCTTAGAGCACATCCCCTGCAAACAAAGGGCAACTGCTGTGTTGGTAACATAAACAGCGGATGCACTGCTTAGGGTCCTCTGTATCCTGACCCATGGCCAAATGAAATCCAATTGTAACTGCAAAGTGTGCTCCCATTACCTCACGGTGGACTCTGATGAATTCTCGAGGGTCCCCTTTTGCCCAGGGTGGAAGGATAACGTCACCAAGCTTGGTGCCATTTTGTTTACAGCCTGTGCAGTTGGATACATCAAAACAAAAAATGAACGAACGTGACAAACAGAACCTTCATATTAAAGTGCAGAGAAGTAGCAGGTTAGATTCTCTCCAGAACTACATTTTACCACCTGAAAGGACTGCCTGAGGTCATCTACTCTGGCATTTCCCCAGCGCTGGGACAGCACTCCTTCAGAAACACTCCCCACGCACCAGCAGGGCTCAGTGGGCCTCACCGGGAAGGGTCTTCAGGAAGTGCTGAGTCACACAAAGTCCCAGGTGCTGCTTCCTGCACCGCTCCGCAGAGGTTCAAACATGCTAAGAAGGACATCAGACACTGATTTCTCAGATTTAGCTGATGGCAGGACTCCTTTTCAATAGCACATTTGGGGCTACTGTTTAAAGTCTCCTGGACATATTTGTAATACATGAGATTTCTCATATTTCTGACTCTGCAATTCTCAAGAGAGAGCTCTGTAAAACTGATATGGATTTTAAAGAAGGATTCTCATCAAAACAAAAATGAAGTCTGAGACAATATAATTTGTTGCTGTTAATTCCTCATTTAACAGAAAAAAATATATGGAAATACTATGGTGCTATCAGACAAAAACAAAAACGTGTTGTGGAAGGTACAAATAAGGCTGGGCACAGTGGTTCATGCCTGTAATCCCAGCACTTTGGGAGGCCAAGGAGGGAAGACTGCTTGAGGCTGTTCAAGACCATCCTGGGAAATACAAAAATTAGAAAAATTAGCCTGTCATCCTACCTACTTGTGAGGTTGAGGTGGGACAATTACTTGGGCTGAGGAATTCAAGGCTACTGTGAGCTATGATTGTACCACTGCATTCCAGCCCTGGGTGCAAAGTCAGACCCTATCTCAAAAAAAAAAAAAAAAAAAAAGTACAAAATATTTATTTCACATAAAACTGTTTAAGTCATAGCCAGATAATCTACAATATTAGAGAAACTATTTGTTATATTTGAAATATTGAAGTATTTTAATATTTGTAATATTTGAAATCTATCTACAACAAAATAATAAATTGGGTTGGCATCTAAAGTAATACTCTTTTTCTTTTTGCTTTTTTTTTTTTGAGACAGAGTCTCATTTTGTCACCCTCAGTAGAGTGCTCAGGTTTCACAGCTCACAGCAACCTCAAACTCCTGGGCGTAAGTGATTCTCTTGCCTCGGCCTCCCAAGTATCTGGGACTACAGGCGCCTGCCACACCACCTGGCTATTTTTAAAGACGAGGTCTCGCTCTGGGTCAGGCCGGTCTCCAACTCATAAGCTCAGGCACTCTACCTGCCTCAGACTCCCAGAGTGCTAGGTTTATAGGGGTGAGACACCGCACACAGCCTCAGCTGTATTTCTTTCTTTTTTTTCTTAAATACACAAAAAAGTCACTACAGAATTTTCATGGATACTAATCAGATCATTATAAAAAATGACTCTATAAACAAAAATGCTGACTAGTTTAACAGCAGTTGGTTAAATAGTTGAACTGGAAATTTTCACAGAGAAGTGCAGTTGTTCAAATTTTACAACACCAAGCCAAATATAAGTGAAAGCCAAGAGAAATATTTCCCTTAGAAACAAATTTGTCTTCTTCATTGTTATTTGATGATTTATTTATGATGTGCTATTAAGTAGGTGATCTAAACAGTTTATTGTTTACAGAAATGTCTTAATTTGATTGGAAAAATTACCATATAACTTAAGATAAAAATAAATCAAGTTACTAGAACCCTCCCTCCTCACATACCTTCCACACCCCCTGCATGGCCTCAAGTCCTAATATTTTGATAGTTAGTAAGCAACTTCACGTACAAATTACTTCCCAAAAGTTTGCTAGAATTCCCAAATACTTATGTAACATAATTTTATTAACATTATCTATAATTTAAAAATGACATAAAGGGAACACAGCCCGTAGAAAACTCTTGGTCTAAATCAAGCGTCGCAAAGCTTTCCTCCATGTGCGTCCAAGGATGTAGGGTGAATATTAATCATCTCCGGGCCAGGGAAAAACTCAAGTGCTTTTTCTTTTACACCAATTTACTTATCCTTTCTGGGTGAAGAGGCAAATGGTATTTTGTTTTTTCTACTGAGGTGAAACTCACATAGGAGTAAACCTTGTAAAGTGCGTGATTCAGTACTGTCCAGTAGGTGTGCGGTGTTACCCTGCGCCATTTCTGTCTAGTCCCAGGGCATTTTCACTGCCCCCAGACAAACCCTGTGACGGTTAATCGGTTGCTCCTCCTGCCACCCTCCCCCAGCCCAGACCACCACTGTGTGCCCTCTCTCTGTGGAGCTGGCTGCTCTACTTCCTGAGAGGAGTAGTACACCATGTGAACTGCAGTGTTGTCTGGCTTTTTTCACTGGGCGTCATGTTTTTGAGATTCATCTATTGGAACTTCCTTCATTTTCACGGCTAAGTATATTTCCTTACATGTGCTACATTCTGTTTACCCATCAACCCTGAACAGGAACCTGGGCCATTTCTGCCATTTGATCACCGTGAATAATGCTGACACCAACATGCTCTTACACATACTCACGGGAGTTCCTGTTTTCCATCCTGTGTACCTAGGAGTAGAACTGCGGAGTCATACGTTATCTCTACATTTAACTTTGTGAGGAACTGCCAGATGGCGTCCCACTGTGGCTAAACCCTTTTACGTTCCCACCAGCAATGTATGAGGTTCTAATCTTTCCACATACTTGCCAGCACTTATCATCTTTCTGTTCCCCACTGTAGCCGTCCTAGTGGACGTGAAGTGGTTCCTCACCGTGGTTTTGATTTGCATGCCCCTATTGACTAAGAGTGTTTAGCATTTTTTCATGTATTTACAGGCCATTTGGAAAAATGGGGGAAATAGCTATTCAAGTTCTTTGCCCACTTTTTTTTTTCCTAAAGAGACAGGGTCTCTCTCTTTTGCCCAGGCTAGAGTTCAGTGGTACAATCACGACTCACTGCAACCTCGAACTCTGTGGGCTCAAATGATCCTCCCCTCTCAGCCTCCTAAGTAGCTAGGACAATAGGCATGTGCCACCATGACTGGCTAATCTTTTAATTTTTTGTAGAGATGGGGCCCTGTCCTGTTACCCAGGCTGGTGTTGAACTCCTGGTCTGAAGTGACCCTTCTGCCTCCCAAAGCGCTGGAATTACAGGTCTGAGCCACTATGACTGGCCCCTTTATCCATTTTTCAATTGGGTTGTTTCCTTGTTGTTGAATTTTAAATTGTTTCTATCCTGGATACTAGAACCTTATCAGATATGTGATTTGTAAACATTTTCTTCCATTCTATATATTGTCCATTCACTTTCTTAATAATGTCTTTTGATACAGAAGGCTTTAACACTGATAACATCCAAGTTATCTTTTGTTGCTATTGCTTGTTCTTTTAATATCACATCTAACAATTCACTATCAAATTCAAGATCATGAAGATTTATCCCTGTTTTCTTATAAAGGTTTTCTTGTTGCATCTTTTTATGCAAACAGTGTTTAAAGTGTCTGATTTCAAGAAGGGAAGACGACTTGTTAAGGTAAACATGACAGGAGCTACAGACTGTTTGGTAGGTTTGTAAACAGTCTGGTCCAAACACCTTTGCAACATGGATTATCAGACTGACCCAGTGTTTCTGGGAGATTGGGGTATCTCTTTCTACACCTCTCCACCTGTCTCCCTTTGAAAGTGGTGTTCTTAGAGGAAAAGCCAGCATTCTCCAAAGGTGAATTCTAAGTGAACATAAAAAAACACTAATGTGTATCCACATTCAAAGTCTGCTGAGCACACATTGGTTGATTCTGCAACAGAATAGATTCTGACCATGCAGTGGTTCTCAACCTTCCTAATGCCGCGACCCTTTAACATAGTTCTGCATGTTGTGGTGACCCCCAACCATAGAATTGTTTTTGTTGCTACTTCCTACTGTAATTTTGCTATTGTTATTAATCATAATGTGTTTTCTGATGGTCTTAGGCGACCCCTGTGAAAGGGTCTTGCGGATTGTGACCCACAGGTTGACAACTGCTGACTTTGCAGAAACCATCCCTTCCTCCAACTCTAAGCTCTAGAAGTTGGTGTCTTTAGCTGTTCAAGGGCAAGCTTCAAGGCCAACTGCAGGTGTAATGAGACTCAATTTCAGGACTTTTGCTGGGACAGCTGAGAGAGTCTTACTATGTTTCCCATTGAATTCCATTTCACAGAGTTAGGGCTGGTGATAGACAAATAAAAATCATTTTTAGAAAACCTTATAAAAAGAACAGAACTCTTGAATGTATAGGACATAAATATTTCCCTGAATTTTATGTTAATGAAAATGTGAAGCTAGTAATGATTTATATGCTGAACTCTTAAAAACAGTAAAAACTACAGGATATTAAAAAAATAGGAAAAGAGGACAATATCTGGGAGGAATATTCTGAAGTGGAAACAATGGAATTTTGATGTGCTATAAAAGAAATACTCAGAGGCACAGATCAGCAAAATGTGTTCCAAAAAACTGGAACCGAAGTCAAATCTACTTCCTCTAGCTGCCAGATAATATAAAAACAGTACAGATGACATTTTTCTCCACTTCTGTAAATGCTGATTTGGTTCTGTTTTTCTAGAAAATAAGACCCTCATAGAAGAAAAAAAGAAGCTGACTTAAAGTTATTCTGAAATTCTAACTTTAAAACACATTAGCATACAAACAGACTGGTAAGGCAATGTATGAGGTTAAAACAACACATGAAGAATGTGGACAGGCCACTCTTGGCTATGAGGGTAGTACAAATTTTCAGTAGTAAAATTTCCAAATAAATTTTCACTTTGACTTTTTTTCATCAAAACAACAAAATTCTGAACATCTGATGTAATTTCTTATGTAATCCGTGTCAACTCTTAGACATCTACCACACTCTAAGGTTTGAAACGGCTTTTTGGGGGCATAAATTTATTTTCTTCTTTTATGTAATCACTTACATCTGATTACAGTAAATAAGTATGACTAAAACCACAAGGCATTTTTTTCTTTTAATGTGTGCTGCAGATAATCTTCAGAAAAATGACTTATTTCTACTGGTCTTTTCCTGGTTCACATTCCTAAGATAGCACCAGAGCTCAACGTACCTAGATCAAAGTTGTTGGAATTGAAGAGGAATTCTGGTAAGTAAAAAAATTCTGGGATGAGCTCCTTTACGTCTGCCATGTTGTGCTTTGATGCTGAGTACCAGGCCTCACGCACACTGTGAAACATCCGGTCAGCCAGGTCAAAGTGGCCACCCTGTGGGCAGAACGAGAGGGCACCTCTCTATTAGAGAACCATTCCCACCTCACAGCTTCTGCCAAGTTCAAGGGCTTCAAAATGCCAAATATGTTTGGTCACATTTTCAATATCCCATTTTCCTACATTAAGTATGTAAAATTTTTCATTATCATGAAAGGAAAATCCAGTTCTCTTTGCTGGCACGCCTTTACAGAGGGCTCTCAATGTATTCATTTTACAATCAACGTCAAATCCAAATATAAGTATTTCTAAAAATATTAACTGTATAGAGAGGACAAGACTATAAAATGTGCCTTATTTTAGTTTGATGATGACATCTTCAGAAAAGATTCTAGTGCCTGTAAATCATCTATAGTTGGGAATATTCAAGTGATATATATGTTTGGCTGATTTTTCAAATTAACACGACATCCAAGCTCTCATACCAATGAGAATGAAGCGGAGAATTAGTGAAGGTGATCAGAGAGTCACAGATAAACAAAATTCCATCAGGAAGAGGGATTTCTTTCACCGTGATCCCCCTCTTCTCCAGTCAGACTCCCTCTGCCGTGCTCTGTGAGCTTGCTATGTCTGTCCTAGGACGTCCTCTGTGGAGAAATGCCCAAGCCTCTAAATGGCTTCAAGGCTTGTCACAATCTGGCCTGTCTCCTTCCTGACTTTATCTCCTGTGACTGTCCTCCCTCCTCAGTCCACTGGAGAGGACTGGACGTGCCGACGCCCTTGCTCTTCTTCAGACGTGTCAGGCACAGACCTGCCTTTGGGCCTTGCACGAGTTCTTCCCTCCGCTTCGCGCACATTCCCTCGGAGGTCGGAGGGAGCAGCTCCCTCACCTTCTGGGTGTTTTTTGTTCACAGGAGACCTACTCTGACTATTCTGTTTAAAACTGCATCCTGCCGCCCCCCACCTTCCATCACCTCACCCTTTCCTTGACCTCTGTTTTTCTGATAGATTTTATCACACTCGGAAACACTTTCTAATTTACTTATTTATTACGTTTGGCCGTCTCCCTCAACCACATATATGC